CCATCCTCACCAGCAAGCAAGCATTTAAAGCATACAAAATTCTCACATCAAAAATTAAAACTTATCCCTAAAATCTTGAGAACATGGCTGCTTTTCAATTATTTCACAACAAGAACTGGAAGAAGTGAGAGGCAAGGGAGAAAGTCACATACATTGAGAATGACGAGTGAATATTGTAATGCAATTGAAGTGAAAGGAGAATTGGAGATGATTTTTGGGGTTAGAAGAGTAGGGATAATGGTTTTTAATTTTTGGGCAGAATTGTTCTCCTCTTATTTTCAGTGTTTTAACGTTGGGGCACTTACCTGGGAAGATGTGACCGCGGCAACCACTTTTCTGCCATCGTGATCGCTCAGTATTCAGGAAATACATGTTCTTCGTGAATGTGCGACTCTGACCGCGAACACGATAGACTACGGTTTTCTGCAATTTCAGCAGCTACTGGTTTAGGGCTGTCCGGACCACCTAACCTGCTCAAATCAACTCAAAAAAATATGAAACTTTATAGATTAGTCAAAAATAATATACTAAGCTATTAAAAAAAAATTAAAAAATGACTTAAAATTTAAAAATGATGGGTAGCCACCCATCAAGCACCGCATTTAGTGTCGTGGCATGACAACTACCAATTTCCCCCTTTTTTTATCTCTTGGAGAATATGAATTGGGCACCTAACTAAACTCAAGTTTGTGACCAACACTGGGGGTGGTGTGTAGATGAAAAAGTCTAACGTTATTTGCTTCATTTTGTATTTCTTGGCTTTCTTTTGAGGAATATCATTTTGTCGTCTCGAACTTTCAATTTGCAAAATGTATGGCTCTTGTCTTTCTTCTTTTCACACCCACATAGATTCACATGGATCAATTCCCATATCACCTTAAAATTTTGAAGTTGCAAAATGCTTGGAATGAGACATCAACCTCCCTTATTCTAGTTTATTGTAGTAGTATTTCTTAGTTCAGATCAAAATAGGCAGTGAAAAAAATAATTTTTTGAAGATACGAGTAAATTGGGTTTTCTAAAATTATTTTGGTTAGCATTAGTGGAACAATTCTTTGTGAAACGGACTTCCAAAATTGTCGGATGTTACTAATGCAAATATGTAAATTGCGGAAGGGGCTAAGAGAGATGCCAATACAGTTGCCTGTATCATATTTGCTAAAAGAAAGGATTTGTTTGATGTCATGGTTTTAAGTTTTTTGATATTACTAGTTTACATTGTTTTTAACCTTTGCAAATAATCTGATGTTTGTTGGGAAAATAATAATAATCCCGCACAGGAATAATATCCACGATAAATAATAATAACACAAGAGAGTAATAAAGACACCAAATTTTTTAACTGGGTAAAATACAATACCCGAGCGGAGCAATATTACCATTATAATATGACAAATTCATAGTGTCAAGAGACTACTACAATTTCGAAAGAAATAACACTCTTTATTTTAAATAGCTTATAACAATATTACTCACACTCACTATTTATTTCATAGACTACGATTTGTGGGTTACTCTCCTAAATTTGTGTTACTTCTCTTTTCTTTTCTTTTTTGGTGTATCTGAAGAAGTGAGAAAGCTCTCCTTTTATAAGGCAAAAGAGTCGTGGGCTCAAAGTATTCTACAGGAGGATTAAAATCCTCCTCCACATATTCAAAAACTTGGTCCCCAAGAATGAGTTAGCCAAGTACTGTATATAGGCATATGCCTATATTGATGGGATGGATCCCCACAATCTCTCCCTTAATTTTTATTTTTCTTTTTCATTCCGAGTCTTGATCTCAATCTCTGAAAATCTTCAAACTTGAGAGGCTTTGTAAAGATATCCGCGGCTTGATCATGAGACTTCACATATTTGAGCTCGACTTCCTTCTTGGCAATGCATTCTCTGATAAAGTGATACCTTGTATCTATATGCTTGCTTCGATCATGATACACTGGGTTCTTCGCGAGTGCTTGTGCGAATTTGTTGTCAGTACAAATTTCCATAGCTTTAATCTATTGTAAATTGAGCTCCTTCAATAATCTTCTCAACCAAATAGCATGAAATGTACATGATGTTGCTGCTACATATTCAGTTTCACAAGTCGAGAGTAACAATTGATTATTTCTTTGAACTCCAAGAAATAACAGAATCACCCAAGAAAAATACAAAACCGGTTGTACTTTTTCTATCATCAATATCTCCCGCATAATCACTATCACAAAATCCCACAAGGTTGAAATCACTAGAAGAAGAATATAATAGCCCAAAGTCAATCGTACCTTTTAGGTAACGAAGAATTATTCTAGCGACTTTCAAGTGATAGAATTAGGAGCTTCCATGAAGCGACTTACTACTCCAACTGCAAAGAGTATATCAGGCCTGGTACAAGTCAAGTACCTTAAACTTCCCACAAGGCTTGTGAAAAATGTGGGATCCATTTTTTCTCCTTCATCAAACTTGGAAAATTTTGTCACACTCTCCGTCGGCGTGTTCACGAGGTTGCAATCGTGTTGTACTTCTTCAATATCTCTTTTGTATAGCTTTCTTGAGAGATAAAAATTCCATCCTCCATCTTCTTCACTTCTAGGCCCAAGTAGTATGACATGAGCCCTAAATCCGTCATCTCGAACTTACGGGACATATCTTTCTTAAAAGCTTCAAACGAACTTGGGTTATTACCCGTAAAAATAAGATCATCAACATAAAGACAAACTATCAATATATCTCCATTAGTATGAACTTTAAGGTAAAGAGCATATTCATGGAGACAACGAGTAAACCCATTGTCTTGAAAATACTTGTCGATGAAACTATTACATGCTCGTGGGGCTTACTTTAATCCATATAAAGCTTTCTTCAATCGCAACACTTTATCATCGTGGTTTTTGACCACAAAGCCCAATGGTTGTTCAACATAGACTTCTTCTTCAAGATATCCATTCAAAAAGGCTGACTTGACGTCTAATTGATGGATCTTCCACTTTATTTGTGCTGCCAAAGAGATCAGCAAATGAACCATCTCCATGCGAGCAACAGCTGTGTAGACTTCTTCATAGTCAATGCCTTGCATTTGCTTGTAGCTTTTAGCCACAAGTCGTGCCTTGTATCTCTCCACATCTCCATCCACGTTCTTCTTTGTCTTGTATACCCATTTTACTCCAGTTGCTCGATGACCCTTGGGAAGAGTTGTTAACTCCCAAGTGTTGTTCTTCTTTATTGACCCGATCTCCTCCTCCATGGCTTGTCTCTACTTTTTATCTATAACAGCTTCATCAAAGTTCATTGGTTGACTATCAGCAAAGAGACAACATAAAAAATCAAAATTAGTAACTTTTTCTATGTCCTCATGGAGCTCTTGAATACTCCTTGTCCTTTGCGGCTGTTCATTTGAACTTTCTTGAGAAGAAGGAGATGTAACATTGGTTAGAGAAGGAGGTGGAGTTGTATGTTGCACAGGTTCCACGATCTCTGGTTCTTCTTCATCACCAATGTATGGAAGAAAATCATATGAAGATTCTTCCTGAGCTTCCCAATTCCATGACAATTCGTTATCAAATTCAACATCGCGACTTACCACCACTTTGCCGCTACCTGGGTTGTATAACTTGTAGCCTTTTGAAACTCGTATCATAGCCAACAAACACATTCTTGACACTTCGATCATCAAGCTTCGCTCTCCCTTGCTGTGGCACATGAGCATAGGCTAGGCTCCTAAAGATTCTCAAGTGTTTAACACTTGGCTTTCTTCCACTACATGCTTCTTGAGGGGTTTGATCTCTAACATTTCTTGTTAGAGACCTGTTGTTCAAATAAACTACACAAGAAATAGCTTCGTCCCAAAATTCATTTGGCATACTTTTAGCTTTTAACATACATCTAGCCATATTAAGAATCGTTCGATTCTTTCTCTCTGCAACTTTATTTTGTTGGGATGAATAAGGTACCATTGGAGGGCGATGAATTCCATGAGACTGACAGAAGTTATTAAATTCTTTTGAAGTGAATTCGCCTCCTCTATCGGACCTTAAAGATTTTATTTCATAGCCACTTTCTTTTTCCACAAGTACTTTGAAATTTTTAAAAGAAGCAAAAGCTTCAACTTTTTGGTTCATGAAATAAACCCCAAGTCTTTCTACTAAAGTCATCAATGAAGAACAGAAAGTATTTACTATTACCAAATGAAGGTGGATTGATCGGTCCACACACATCAGCGTGAATAAGCTGGAGCGGCTTGGTTGATCTTGATATGGCCTCCTTTGGAAAACTTCTCCTTGCATGTTTTCCAAGAAGACAAGCTTCACACAATTGATTGGGATGGTTGATTGATTGTATCTCATGCACCATGTTCTTTTGTCACATTGATTTGAGCGCATCAAAATTCAAGTGCCTGAATCGCATGTGCCAACACTATGATTCATCTTGAACATTAGCCTTCAAACACTTTGCTTTAATTATTTTATGATTCAGAGAAAATAATTTATTCTTTGCCATATGCACTTTAGCAATTAGAAATTCACTTGAATCTCTAAGCCAAAGATGCATTTTTCATGTGGATGTCATATTCCTTTTCAAGAAGTTGGCCCAAACTCAAAATATTACTTTTTAATTTTGGCACATAATAAACATTCTTGAATTAGCTTATGACTACCATATTACAGGAGATCAGAATCGTACCCATCCCTTCGATTTGAATCTTTGAGGTATCTCCAAAAGACACATTACCTCTCACAGTTATATTGATCTCCACAAACTTCTCTTTGCATCCACACATATGATTGCTTGCTCCATTGTCCAAATACCACGAGCTACAATCATCCATATCTTCTTCCTTGAGTGCTAACAATAATGTCGACTCATCTTCTTCTTTCTTGTTCGTAACAAGGTTAGCTTTCTCTTAAATATTGCTACGACATTCCCAAGAGTAATGGCCAAACTTATGACAATTATAACACTCAATTTTTGATTTGTCATACCTTTGTCCATTATTTTCTTGGTAGTAGCCACGTCCTCTTCCTCATCTTTGTCCACAACCACGACCTCTGAATGTTTGGTGGATTTTGACTTCATTGTTGAAGTTGTTACCATTACTTCCTCCTTTTCCATGACCGCCACGGCCTCGTCCCCGTCCATTCCCTCGATATCTCTTTTCACCTCCATAATCCTTGAAGGATGCCTGAGTTTTATGAAGTTGCTCCAACGGCACTTCTTGTCTCCTATTGATCTTTTCTTCGTGGGGCTGTAAAGAACCCTCCAATTGCTCCACCATAATAGAGTCTAAATCTTTAGACTCCTCAATGGCACACACCACAAAATGAAATTTAGGTGTTAAAGTGCGAAGGATCTTTTCTACCACACAGACATCTTCTATGTCCTCCCGTATCTTCTTAACTGATTCACAATAGCCTTCACTTTTGAACAATAATCCGAAATGCATTCGGATTCTTTCATTTTCAAAACTTCAAAATCAGCCCTTAGAGTTTGAAGTTTTACCTTCCTCACCTTATCAACTCCTTGGTGAGAATTTTGCGAAATCTCCCAAGCTTCCTTTGAGGTGGTAGCATCTGCCACCTTCTCAAACATGGCATCATCCAAACATTTGTGGATGAGCGTGAGAGCTTATTGATCCTTCTTCCTTATCTTTGCCAAGACATCTTTTTTTTTTGAGGCAGAGCTTCCTCATTAGCGGATTTTGCATACCCTCAGGCTACGATTTCCCACACATCCTGGGAGCCAAGAATGGCTTTCATACATAGACACCATATCTCATATTTATCTTTTGTGAGACAGGGGTACTGAAAAGACATCATACTATTATTCGCCATGGCTTTGATACCACGTTGTTGGAAAAATAATAATAAATTCCGCCGAGGAATAATATTCACGATAAATAACAATAACAGAAGAGAGTAACAAAGACACCAAATATTTTAACGGGGTAAAATACAATACTCGAGCGGAGAAATACTACCATTATAATATTACAACTTCGTAGTGTCAATAGACTACTACAATTTCGAAAGAAATAACACTCTTTATTATAAGTACCTTATAACAATATTACTCATACTCATTATTTATCTCACAGACTACGATCTGTGGATTACTCTCTTTAATTTATGTTACTTCTCTTTTTTTTTTGGTGTATCTGAAGAAGTGAGAAAACTCTCCTTTTATAAGGCAAATGAGCCGTGGGCTCAAAGTATTCTACAGGAGGATTAAAATCCTCCACATATTCCAAAACTTGGTCCCCAAGAATGAGTTAGCCAAGTATTGTATATAGGCATATGCCTATATTGATGGGATGGACCCACACAATGTTTGCCTTCTGTATGGTAGATTGCTGGTGGGCTTTGTGATAACTTGTTAACCTGCATTGTACGAGCATATATGGGATGACAATAAATCCCTTTTTGTGGCACCAGCAATGAGTACATTGATGTGGAATTATCCATTCACAGAACGATACATTATGATAATTGATGAGCTTGGGATCTCTCTTATACCTCCAGTACATCAAACGGACTAGCCTGTGGAGATTACGTGAATGGATTAATGGTTGAACATATTGTATCATGCAGTTTGAGAATAAATCCTGTTGTAGTTTAGTAGTTCCAAGTGTTCAATAAAATTATGAACCAAATTTACAACTGAAGATCACTGAAATGTAGGGGACGCTAAAAAAAAGTAATGCAAACCAAATTGTTCTGATGTGTGCGTATTTCCCATTGTCACCCAAATATAGGGAAGTTCCCAGTGGGAACTGCTATTTGAATTATAATATCTTATTCATTGAACTAACCTTCTCCAAGATAAACTGTTTTCCGATAGCTTTGCACCATTATGGCACTTGTGAAGTTAATAGTTGGCCCGTTCAAATAATTTATGAAAATTAATGTTAGCAAAAGACTTGTGAAAAACATAAAGAAAAACTAACCAAAAAGTCTATCAACCGAAAAAGCAAAAAGAGAGCTCAGATGCACAATTTTTTCATCTGAACATCAGATGAGTGTGACGACCCATCGTTCACATTTTGTGCTGGTTGCATCACTGCTCCCACCAAATGCACCAGCGGAATGGAACCCGGGTCTGTATGGCAAGGTACTATTCTACCACTAGACCATGATGCTTCTTGTTGTAGCATCTAATAAAACCCTTATTTATTATAAAAAAAACCAGCCAGGAATGGAACCCGGGTCTGTATGGCAAGGTACTATTCTACCACTAGACCATGGTGCTTCTTGTTGTAGCATCTAATAAAACCCTTATTTATTATAAAAAAAATTAATTTTAACGATTTTGTGATACATAGTCTTTATTATTATTTTAAACGGAGAGCTGCGGATTCTATTGTTTCTAAATACTAGTATTATACATGTTACTTGAATGTTTTCCTGCTTGCACTGAGTCTGTTTGATTTGTCGGCAACCTTTTTCTACCAAATTGACGGCATCGTTAACGCAAACGCGCATCTCCATCGGCGTTGCATGCCTAGAAATGGCATCTAAAATGAGAGTACTGTATGTATATCCAATGATCATTTTGGTAATTGCAGTATTATCAATTACACTCTTAGTTCTGGAGACGAAAATGTACTTTTTTTCAAAAGTTAAGTAATAAAATGTATAATCAAAGAATACGGTGATCAGAACCACAATATAGCATTAAAGCATGGATCTAAACTGCTATTTTCCCTTGTAAGAAACACAAACAGCATTTATTGGTACATGGTTTCGAACAAGTGACCTCAAGTAAATGTTTAACCGGTGCTAAGCCTAATCGGATATTCACGGGTAAAATATAGGTAAAATACGGGTTAGCCTAATAGGTTAGCTTCCAACTTTTGCTTACTCAAATGCTTGTTGGGAAGTTAGAATTACATTTTGAATTTTAAATTTCCCAAGTAATAGCCTCCCTTGCATCTTGCACTCCTTCAGGGATACAAGAGCTAGGTTCTCCTGAGTTCTTGTTTTCTTCAGTTAATTATTTTTCCATTAAGCTAGAGAAAGTGTTTCCTAGTTTTATAGTTGCATTCTGCACTGACACCCCTTTTGCTATGTATTTGTCAGTCTAGAATCCTTGTTGATTACCTTGCTTGTCTGTTATCTGTTTGTACTATTTTACCCCTTTTTCTGCATCATTTTTAGCCTTTGCCTCTACTGCTTTCTCCTTTTCATTAGTGATCTCCTTGCTATTTTCATTCCCCTGTCCCTGGTGATTTTTGCTTCCTTCTGTTACCTTCTGCTTCTCCTTTTCTTCTTTAAGAAATTTCCTGCACTCTTTCATTTCATGCCCATGGTTACCACATTTTCCACATAGTACAGGTTTTCATTCGTAGACCAAATTTTGCTCCACTATTTTCCCATATTCATTCTCAAACATTATTGATGTAGGGTATGTTTGGTTCAACATAATCTCCACCAATACTTTTGCATATGTTCATCTTTCCCTTTGCGTAGTTGCACTATCTGCTTTGAGAGGTTGACCAATCAGCCCTGCTATCTTAGTCAGTGCAGCCTTGCCCCATTATTTGATGTCCAGACCCGGCAATCTTACCCACATAGATATTTTCTCCATTTGAGTTTTAGTAAAGTCCATATCTAGTTTCCATGCTTTAACTATGACTGGCTTTTTATCGAACATTTGACTCCCTCTTCTACTACTCTGTTTCTGTCCTCCATATCATGAAACCTCACAATTAATACCCCTCGACTAATCTGTGCAACTTTATCAATTCCCAATACCCCCATATCCTCCTAAAATAACCATCCATTACTGGTTGTGGAGAATTGGAACCTAGGACATAGCATACCACCGCCGATGCCCAATAATTCACCTTATCTTTGATGTCATTCAATGTTATTTTCACATTCACATGATTCTCTACTGCTTTGCTCAAATCTATTCCCTCTATAGTCATAATTTCTCCAACTACACAACTCCATGATTTAGGGCTTGTGTTTGGATTCATCTGTGTACCTTTGTTTTCATTTTCTATGACTTCCTCTTCCACCATGTCAGCCCAGGATGTCTTCCCCGAGCTTTTAACCTCGCTTTCCCTCTCTATGTTCACTGAATTGCTCCTTTGTGGTGTGTTTGATGAGGACGCTATTGTTAGGTCCAATGGAATTATACCTTGGATTGCGTTTATACTACGTTATTTCTTTGCATTTGTCCGGAGCTCCCAATTTCGCCATTGTTATTGCTTGATTGCTACCTTTCGATTGTTGCCCCCTTCCTCTAGGCTTCAATTTTCTCGTCATCAGCAGAACTGAGAGCAGCTCTATTAGGTGGGGGCATTCCCCATCCTAATAGATAATATAGGGTTCTAGAACACCAGAGGACTAAATAACCCTACCAAACAAAGGGAGATAAAGCTATTCATGCATAATGCTAGGGTAGGGGTATTTGGTCTTCTGGAAACAAAAGTGAAGAGAGCAAAAGCTCAGTAAGTCTCTCTTCACCTATGTCAAGGCTGGTCGTTTAGCACAAATCTATCCCAACATCCAAGAGGAAGGATATGGCTTCTATGGAATCCTATGCTATATGGAGTCAACATAATAAGAGTAACAGCACGGCTAATGCATTGTGAATTATATCATAGAGGGACTGGAAACACATTATATGTGACAATGATTTTTATGCGTTCAATGATGCAGCTCTTAGAAGGGAATTATGGAAGGCAATCAAAAAAATCCATGGACAGATAAAAGGTCCCTGGGCGATAATGGGGGACTTTAACTTTGTCATATACAAGGAGGAGATAATAGGCAGCCCAGTCACAGTGACAGAGATTAAAGAGTTTAAGAAATGTGTTGAGAAATGCTCATTGTTGGACCTTAAATCCACTGGAGCAATCTTCACATGGAAAAACAAGCAAAGTGGAGGGGGTAGAGTACTTAGTAAAATTGATAGAGTAATGGTAAATGATGAGTGGAATCTTAAGCTACTTGCATCAGTAGTACATTATAGGAATGAGGGGTTGTTTGATCACTGTCCAACCATTATAAGATAGGACAAGGGAAACCAAACGAAGAATAAAATGTTCAGGTACTTTACTATGTGGAGCTTGGCTTCAGATTTCAAGGAGAAACTTTAAGCTGGTTGGAGGACTCATAGGAAGGGCACAAAAGTGTTTGAATTAGTGGGAAAGCTACACAAAATCAAACATACCTTGCAAGAGCTGAACAAAGATAGATTTAGTGAAGTAGAGAGGAAGGCAGATGAGGCAATGCAGAAGCTAAATGCCAGGAAAGAATACAAAAGGACCCATGTAAAACAGAGTTGATAGAAGAAGAAGATATCTATACCAGGAATGCAGATCAGGGAATAATTCTAGAGAACATTTCTTGAGGCAAAAATGCAAAATACAGTGGCTAACTCAAGGAGACACGAACACAAAAAAATTTCATAGTATGATGAAGGCAAGAAGGAATTCCAATAGAATATTCTTTATTGACACTGCAGATGGACAACACACAAATGAGTTAGAGGAGATAGCTAAGGCATTCATAACCTTCTATGAAGGCCTGTTGGGAACTAAACAAAGGGATAGGGAACATGTATGTAGCAGCTTGGTAAGACATGGGCCTACAGTTTCTACTATGCATAGAACAAAACTAATAGAGCAATTTACTGAGAAGGAAGTGAAGGAAGCATTATGGGCTATTGCTGGAGACAAGGCACTAGGCCCAGATGGGTTTGGCAGTTAATTCTTTAAAGATGGTTGGGAAATTGTAGGGAAGGATGCGGTAGATACTGTGCTAGAATTCTTCAGGAATGGGAAAATACTCAAAGTATGGAATAACACAGTAATTACTCCCATACCAAAAAGTGCACATGCCTCCAGTGTAGGGGATTACAGGCCAATAGCATGTCGTAATACAATATACAAGATCATCTCAAAGATGCTTTGTAACAGGCTCTGAATAGTCCTCCCTGAGCTAATATCAGAAAATCAAAGTGCATTTGTAGCTGGTAGAAGCATTGTGCAGAACATTCTGATCTATCAAGATTTTGTAAGACTATACAACAGGAAAACCACAACCAAGAGCTGTTTGATCAAAATTGACCTTAAGAAAGCATATGATACAGTAGAATGGGGATGTCTAGAGGAAATGTTATATGCTATGAACTTTCCTAGAAGGTTCATTAAATGGGTGATGAACTGTATAACTACAACACAATACAATATTGCTTTGAATGGGGGATTGTATCGAAATATTTAGGGAAAATGGGGATTGAGGTAGGAGGATCCTGTATCACCACTTCTATTTGTCATATGCATGGAGTACTTTTCCAGAATAATGAAGAGGATAGTAAGTATGCCAGGATTTGAATATCACACAAAATGTAAAGGGCTGAAGCGAAATCACTTATGTTTTGCTGATGATGTTCTGCTGTTCTGTAAAGGAACATATCAGTCAGTATTGCTGATGCTTAGAGGACTCTAGACATTCTCAAGGGCCTCAGCATTATGCACAAATGCAGGTAAATCCAATATCTTCAGTGCCAATATGGAACAACAAATTGTGCTGGATGTATGTGATATAACAGGATACCAGAAGGGGACTTACCATTTAAATATCTGGGTGTTCCAATTTCAACTAAAAAACTGAATAGTATAGACTATGAGATGTTAGTAGATAGGATGACAACAAGAATTAAAACATGGGGATCAAGGCACCTATCATACGCAGGCAGAGTGCAGCTTATCAACTCAGTGCTGATGCATGTTCACACATATTGGGCTTCCATTTTCCTACTACCAAAGGCAGTGATGAAATAATTTACAACAGTGTGGAGGAACTTCATATGGGATGGGAAGGAGGTGAGCAACAAA